GAAGCCCCTCCAGGCCCTTCACAGAGTGGTCCTGAAGCCCCTCCAGGACCTTCACAGAGTGGTCCTGAAGCCCCTCTTTTAACATGCGGGCCATGTGCTTTGGGTCGTTGTCCTGCTGAAAATTGAACCGTCTCCCAGTGTGAGGTCCAGAGCACCTGGAGCAGGTTTTCATCCAGGATGTCTCTGTACGTTGCTGCATTCATCTTTCCCTCCATCCTGACTGGTCTGACTGTTCCTGCTGCTGAAAAACATCCTCGTAGCATGATGCTGCCACCACCATGCTTCACTGTAGGGATGGTGCTGGCCTGGTGAAGAACGGTGCCTGGTTTCCTCCAAACACGACGCCTGACATTCACACCAGAGAGTTTTAATCTTCGTCTCATCAGAGCAGAGGAGTTTGTTTCTCGTGCTCTGAGAGTCCTCCAGGAGTCTTGGTAAACTCCAGACGGTCTGCCATGTGCCTTTTATCAAGGAGTGGCTTTCGTCTGGCCACCCTACCATACAAGCCTGACTGGTGGATTGCTGCAGAGACGTTGTCCTTCTGGAAGGTTCTCTCTCCACAGAGGAACTCTGGAGCTCTGACAGAGTGACCATCAGGTTCTTGGTCACTTCCTTGACTAAGACCCTTCTGTCCCGATTGCTCAGCTTAGACGGCCAGCTCTAGGAAGAGTCCTGGTGGTTCCAAACTTCTTCCATCTGTGAATGATGGAGGCCACTGGGCTCACTGGGACCTTCAAAGCAGCAGAAATGTTTCTGTATCCTTCCCCAGATTTGTTCCTCAACACAATCCTGTCTCAGAGGTCTGCAGACCATTCCTTTGACTTCATGCTTGGTGTTTGTGCTCTGACGTGCACCGTCAACTGTGGGACCTTATAGACACAGACAGGTGTGTCCCTTTCCAAATCAAGTCCAATCAACCGAACCGACCACAGGTGGACTCCATTAAAGTTGTAAACATCTCAAAGATGATCAGTGGAAGCAGAATGGATCGGAGTTCCATTTGGAGCTTCATGACAAAGGCTGTGAATACTTGACGCAAATGTGATTATTAGTTTTTAATTTTTAATAAATTTACAAAAATCTCAGAAAATATTTTTCCATGTTGTCATAATGGAGTATTATTGTGTGTAGTATTTTGAGGAAATATTAATTTAATACATTTGGAACGAGGCTGTAACAACAAAATGTGGAAAAAGGGAAGCGCTGTGAAGACTTTCTGGATGCACGTCAGTAACTTGTTCAGCAACATTTGTTTTTATTATACTTTTTTATATATTTGGCTTCTTTGCCCACATTTTTCTGATTAAAATTGCACAGAGCTCTCCACATCCTTCAAACACTTTTAGCTGCTAACTTTTTACTGCACATTTCAGCTTTTGTTCTGGTTCAGCTTTTTCACTTTTTTTTTTTTGCTCATTTCAGCTTTTATTTCTTTAAACTTTATGCTTCTTAAGCTCTTTTTAGCTTCTTTCTGGTAATTACAACCATTAGGCTACTTTTTAGCCAATTTCAGCTTGATTTTTTCTGCCTTTTTCAGTATTTTTCAGTTTCTGCTTCCCTCAGCACTTTTTAGCTATTTTTTGGGGCTAATTTCAGAGTCAGAGATTATTTGTCATTCGCACCTCATGTGGTACATGTGGTGGAGTGAAATTATGTACACAAGGTCCCAGTTACATCCAACAATAAAATGTAAATGAAAAACAGTAATAACACCCAAGGTATGAACTAAGACAAACATCAACTAAATATACACTAAGCACTAACAGCATAAAAACATTATGTCAAACAGCAGCATGAACATGAGTCTGTGTGAGCAGATGAAGACAGCAACACGAAACAGATCAGCAGCAACATTGAAACAGATCAGCAGCAGCATGATGTGATTTTTTTCACAGTGATTATTCTGGTCTGGGAAGCTCAGTCCTCACCTCCTTCTACAGGTGTGCAGTGGAGAGCATCCTGTGCTCCAGCATCAACATGTGGCATGGAGGCTGCACAGCTGCAGAAAGAAAAGCTTTGCAGAGAGTGGTGAAGGCTGCACAGAAATCTGTCGGAATCAGTCTCCCCACCATCACAGACATCTACACCTCTAGATGCAGGAAGAGGGCCACCTGCATCATGAAGGACCCCACTCACCCAGCACACACACACTTTTTGCCCCGCTCCCCTCAGGAAGGAGGTTAAGGAGCATTAAGTGTAGAACCACTAGACTGAGGAACAGCTTCTACCCTGAGGCTGTTAAGACTCATAAATCTCTAACCAGCTCGTCTCAGCCGTCTGAGGAAGTAGAGTCTCTGATGAGCTTTCTTGATCAGGCTGGTGGTGTTGTTGCTCCAGCTGAGGTTGTCATTCATGTGTACACCCAAGTACTTGTAGCTGGAGATCACTTCCACCGCAGATCCTCTTATGTTCAGGGGGGTGTAGATGTTTTTGTTCCTTCTGAAGTCCACAATCATCTCCTTTGTCTTCTTCACATTGATGTGAAGGTTGTTCTTCCTGCACCAGCTCTCCAGGTGTTCCACTTCTTGCCTGTAGCTGGACTCATCATTGTTTGTGATGCATCCCACCACCGCTGTATCATCTGCAAACTTTACAATGTGACAGCCTGGATGGGTAGCTGCACAATCATACGTGAGCAGAGTAAACAGGAGGGGGCTCAACACACATCCCTGAGGAGAGCCAGTGCTGAGGGTTATGTGGAGGAGAAGTTGTGGATCCTCACTAACTGTGGTCTGTTTGTTAAGAAATCTTGTACCCAGTTGCAAATGGATGGGGCTTAGTCCTAATGTGGATAGTTTGTCCATCAGGGTTTGGGGGATCATCAGCTACATTTCAGCTTAAAATTTCAGCTAAAAAAATGAAATTCTGCTAAATGCAGCTTTTTTTTTTTGGCTATACTTTTCAGCTTGTTTCAATTTTGTATGTTCTTTTCGGTTTCTTTCTATTTCCGTTTTTGTGCTTTCATCCTCCTTCAGATAATTTCAGCTTTTCATATTTTTCTCTGCTGATTTTCATCTAATTTTAGCCGTTAAGCTTCTTTTTACTAATTTCGGGGGGTGGGGGTCCTTTCAGCTTTTCAAAAATACTTTTTGATCAGATTCAGCTCTTGTGCTCCTTTTTAGTTTTGTCTACTTTTCAGCTATTGGTGAATTTCAATGATCTTTTTCATCTTTCAGTAAAATCATCCACGCTGCATTATCACAGGAACTGCAATTTCTATTTTGTTTATGATCACTCTCAGTGGGGGAGTGGTGGAACAGAGGTTAGAGAAGGCAAGCCTGTGATCAAAAGGTCAATAGTCCAAATCCCTGAACCAACATCAAATGTGGGTGGGAAAGGTGACCCCCACCCACAGCGCTCTTATCTCTTATCCAGCGTTAAAGCAATTGCCAAGTCTTGATGAGAGTTAGTTCACTGTAGCGGCCCCAGATACAGGGAGCAGCCGAAAGAAAAAGAATCAGTCATTGCTCTTTACTGTAACTTCCAAGACAATAATGAATGATGCATTTTGTTTGATAAAACTTTGAAAGAGGGAGGAAAAAACACATGATGGTATTTGTGCATTAGCATTTTAATTGAACAAAGCAAGAAAACATTGATTACAGTAGCAGAGTCATCAGGTCACAGGGCTAACACCTTTCTCAACAAAAAGGGGTTGAAAATGTCCGTAGGCACTGCCTAATTATAAAGAGGATTTTATCAGCTAAAAGAAACCAGCTCTATAAGGCAACAGTTACAATGTAGGCCTCCCCATTTCACTGGCAAAAAGAGCAAGTGGAAAGGTTGAATCCACTCCGATGTTTGATATAAAATCACTGGTTTCAATAGAGAATTTAAAAAAAATTGGTTTCAAACATACATATCCACCCGTTACCATTTAAATTGTGTTGAATTTAAATATGCACTGCATGGCAATGCTGTACTTTCCCTGCAAGGAAGATTTGTGTGTCCACTGTACCAGTGTCACGGTTGTCACTCTGCTACGTACAATGTCAGAGTTAACTGTTAAATTATCCAAACAAAACTCGAAGCAAGCACCCACAGTTAACAGTAGCATTTTACTTACATCGTTTCAAATGAAGGGATGAATGGATGGTTATTTACATGTGACGAACAAGGTTTGAGGCTGTCGAGAAGACATGAAGGAGAGATGGAATGCTAAAAGGAAACACTCCCGGTAGCCAAATTTGTCTGGCGAGTAAAAGAGAAAAATTTGTGCAATATTTATCTGCCATTACAGAGAAAACAGCAGTGGTAACAATCCCTGCAATTAGTTTTATTTCAAAACAAATTTAAGAAAATTATAAGGGGGAAACAACATTTCCATTTCTCAAATAATTAAGAGCTCACAACTTACTCGGTTCTTAAAAAAAAAAAAAAACAGACCCTCTCAGTGGTTGTTGGAGAGGAAAGACATGGAAATGGAAGCAAATCGTAAAACCCAGAAAAAAAAAATAATCCAAAAGTTTCTCCTTTACAGTTTTATACTCATTTACAGTTAACTTAAAAACAGCAAGAACCCTGGGTCATAGCCAGTCTTCCTACCAAAAAGGGGCGTAGATACCTGTGTGGGTCAAATCACTGCTCCATGGCTCCCGTTTTCTCAAGCCCACATGAAATTCCATTTACATTTCACAGATGTCAACCTTCTCATAAGGTTCCACATCCTGGAAAAAAAGTCTTAGTCCTGCCACAAACTGAGGCGGTATTTAACAGAGCCCGCAGGCCAGCGTTTCCTGACATATCTCCCACCCTGGCCACTTATCAGTGCGTGGGGTATCCTGTAGCTCCCATACCGGGCTGGTTGGCTAGCATACTTCCATTCAATCCCTGTGTAGGCTCCATAACCCCACCGTTACTGATGGCGCTCATGCCAGTCCACCCAGCACTGGCCGGTAAGTGACTGCAAAAGATGAGGTAAAAGAGAGAAAGACAAAATGCCAGCAGGTTAGAAGAGACGAGGCGAAAGGCGGCCAAAGGCTTTTTAACAGGAGTTACTAGAACTTGAACAGACTAGATTAAGGAGAATGTGACAGTGAGGAAGCTGGGTAAAAAATGAAGCTAGGAAAAAATAACAGGGTTACAGAAAATAAAGTTCTTTAAAGAAATCAAAAGGAGTCATTTGATTAAACAAAGGGAGGGCAAGCAGACAAAAGCATACAGGGTAGGAGCAGCAAGCTGAAGCCTCCGTTCTGTCACCTTCCCAGCTCATCCTTCTTGAAACAAATCCGTTCTTACCAAACTACAAATGAGCCACGTTCTTACCTCTCCTACATCTGACCACACAGCACGGGGAATAAAATATGACCTACAGTACTGTGCAAAAGTCTTAAGCCGAGTCACATTTTTCTTTCGTTTCCAAGGAGACAGACTTTGCTGCAATCATAGAAAATGGCACAAAGAAGTTATATTTCCTGCAGCTTTCTGAAGGGGTTTAAGTTTTTTGGACTTTGGCTGTTTCCATCCAGTACCTGACCATAATCAGAGCATGTTTTTTTTTTTTTTAAATGAGGCATTTGATACAACAGGGAAACTTTGTATAAACTTTAGGCTCTTTGTGAGTCACAAAAAACACAATTTACTCACATTTCTTTGGCGTTTTTTCATGGATTGAACCAAGTTTGAAAGAGAAATGAGCAGTATTTTATCACTAAGGTGGTTCTCAAAGAGCTCTTAATGAAACCTGGCAAACAGTACATGATCTGCTGAAGGATGATGCCCCTCAGGTCTTTGTTTCAGCTGATGTTTTGTTTGGACCCGACTTGTCCACGCCGATTTGAAGCCCACACTGCACAGCACGCAGTCATGGTCAGGTAAGACAAGTGGACTGAAAAGGAGGGACATGTTCCCCAAGGACAGATTTTCTTTTGACGTCTCAGTGTCAGTGAAAACCACTTTAAAGACTGCAAGTCTGACTCCTTGGAAGCAAAGTGCAAACGAATGTAAACTTTTGAACAGTACTTTAATTTACATTTTGCATTTTAAATGCTTTAACATTAATAGAAATAGAAATAAACTGTAAGCTCAGCATGGGGATTTGACAGCTTATTCAGGATAAGGTTTTAAAGTGTAGACAGGCCTAGTCCCTCTTTGGAATAGTTCAATTATAAACTGCTTTCATTTCCAACCTGTAGGTTTGTATTGAAACATAAAATTGATCACGGTTAACATTAGACATTCAGGGTCATAAGTCCTCTCCTTTATTACCCTTGAAAGCACACAGTGTCCAGAAGCTGTCTAAAACCATAAAGTGATACCCGATACGCCAAACTTACATTCATGTAGAAATCAAATCAAGAAAAAGAAGTCAAGGAAATCAAAACGAAATTTATATAAAGCCCAACGACAAGAATGAGCATAAATAACCCGACGACACTGAAGGTCAGTTTTAACTGCGTGGATCATTTTTATGCAGCAACAAATTTGTTCATCATCATAATGTGAGGACTGGGTGGGAAGAAAACTTCAAGCACTTAGTTTGTCAATTGTAAATCGATTGAACTTTTGAAATTCAAAATTTAGCTTCTCAATTTAAAAATGTGAACTCTTTAGATCGTTAATTTGGGGTGTGTGTGGATGAAGCAACAAAGAAGCAGTCTGTAACAAACATCTTGAAATAATAAGAGATGCTGTCCATGGTAAGCAGTAATAAAACTCTGAAGCTTTCAGTTCAAGTTGTTGTGTGCTTGTGTCTTGAGCTCGTAAAGTTGAGGAAGGTGGGTGTCTGGCGAGGGCAGGAGGGAGCTCCCTCCTGTGGCTGGCTCTTGCTCCCCTGGTCATGAAGGGGTCAATCTGGTGGTGATGGAGTAGGAGAAGGTGGTGAAGAGGAGCCCTGTGCACATCATGTTACTTACTTAAAGCCCTGCTGGTTCCAGGCCTGGCTGTAGACACCATAGGTGGGGACCTGCCACCCGTTTGGGACATACTGGCTGATCTGGGGCCCATTGCCATACCACTGGCCCCACTGGCCATAGGGCTGGGCAGCAGAAAAGCCGATCTTGCTTTGCTGCAGGGTCAAACACAAACAGTACCACATACAGCATGTTAGACGCCCGTCAACAAACTATTATACTGCAATCTGCAGCAAAGGCCCGAACAAACAAAGCCCTTGTATAACAAATGTCCTTGATTTGTGACCATGACCTTGAAAATGAGGCGATGAAGTGTGGAGACTAAATGGACTGTACTTGTATAGCGCCTTTCTTTCTTATCAAGACACTCAAAGCGCTTTACAACACAATCTGTGACTCATTTACCCATTCATAGAGCACTCTACTAGAGCTCTACAAAGCTAATTGAACAAATCTAAAGAGACTAATCAGAGCTTTATCACTTTCATACACTGATGGGACACACATCGAGGCAATGAGGGGTTCAGTGTCTTGCACAGGGACACTTTGGCATGTGACTGCTGGCAGCTTCGAACCCCCAACTCTTGCATTGGAGGACGACTGCTCTAACCACTCAGCCACAGCCGCCCTTTAAACTATACCATAATGTCACACATTCAAAATGTTGCCGACTGAGATTACCAGCAAAAGATCATTCTTATGGCCCATACACTCCGTCCTTCAACAAAACATTTGACTGAATCATTTTGTTCAAAAACAAAGGGGGGGGGGGGGGTCAGTTCGGTGGGCGGGGCGCTCGGTTCCGTTGACAGGGCAGGGCACCCTGCTTGTATAATGGTAGGGGAAACACTGAACATGTTTAATCATTTAACTTTAAATGTTAATTCATATTTATACAAATGTCACTCATGACCATCTAAATAAAATGGACTGCAATAAACGTGCCATATACCCCCCTTTAACATGATATTCATAAAAATGAGCATATTTTGGATTTGGCACTGCAGGTATTAGATGGCTCCCTTACCTGAGGGACAGACATCTGCTGCATGGGGTTCATCATGTCCGGTGTCTCTTTGCCCCAGTAGCACTTGACTACGTGTCCCTCTATTGAAGAGCCATTCACGGACACAATGGCATGGGCTGCCGACTCGTGGGAGTTAAACCTGGACACAATCAGAGGGAAACGCGTTGGAAATAAACATATGCCTGAATGGTCTGCTCATAAAAAAACATGTTAAAAATGTGGATGCTTTGTAGAAATGTTCTATCAGAGCTGCAGCAAAAACCAGACAAACCTGTTCTTATAAACTACTAATGTTTAGTGCCAGCATCATAAAATGAACTTCCTGAAAGAAGAAGCAGTTCCACATACCTCACAAATGAATAGCCTTTGTCTGGAAAAACTCTGACTTCCATGATTTGTCCAAAAGGAGAGAAGGTTTGTCTCATCAGTTGCTCTGAAAGAAACAGAAAAAAGGGAGATGTAGTTACTGTTTGTTTTCTCATGTCTTGTTAAACCATCCCAATCACTAGGAAGAAAACATTGCTGGGTACAAGTCTCTTAGTAAAACTTGAGATTTTCACACCACAGAGCTTAAGTGTTCAGACTCCTGAAGGCTATTAACAAAATGACACGATTCAAGAGAAAACTGATCAAAACAAATGATTCAAGAGAAAACCGATCAAAACAAACGTGTAAATACTGAACACAAGTGGGCCAAGGACTCATTTATGTGGTACACAAGTCAACTGAGCCAGAGAGGATTTCATATTTGTCAGAAAAACAAACAAAATGCAGGCGGATGCTGTGATCGACAGCATCTGGTCCTGCTTTTAGATCCAGAAGAACCTCTTTAAATTTCTCTCCATGTACCAGTAGTTTATGTGATCTTTATGCACTTTGTGCTCCACACTCAAAAGGTGGCTCTAAACAATAGTTCTTTATAAACATCAACTGTGAAGAAAAGTGTTTTATTTTATTAACCTTTTTTTTTAACCAGGCAAATCCCATTGAGATCACAGGTCTCTTTTGCGAAGGAGGCCTGGGCCTGAAGGCAAACTAACATGCATGGTTTTGGTTTTAAGAGAACTTTAGATAAAATAAGTGTTACTTTAAGACTGAAGGTCCATGTTGGGGAAAAAAGGCCAAGAAGTCCTCAAAATGTGTAAGAGAGCACTGAGAATGTATCAGCAAGCAGAGGAGGGAACAACTACAACGCAGGAGGAGCGGCTCAGGCAGAACACTGGACACCAACTCTGCAACCATGAACAACAACGTTCATCTTAAACAGCGCTTTAGGATTACAACAGGTTTTTTCTACACTTAACTACTTTCTGAAAAAGGTAAAAATTAATTCCTGAAGATACCTCAGACCTCTTATCCCTCATTCAGTTTTTTGAAGGCATGAGTGTGATAACTAGGACAAGAGATGCTACTTTATTTATGTTTAGGGCAATTTGAAAAGAGAGAGGATTGTTAAATAATCTATTACTTCTGATCTGAGGTTTAGTTTAATGGATTCAAGGATGTGGGAAAAAAAAATCTCTCTCTTTTCTTCCACGTGTTCTCAATTTGAATAAAAGGCCGTTCATATTTCATGTGGATTTTTTTGTCTTTCAGTTACTACTTCTTTGTCCTACATATTTACGCACTTAACAACAATCTCAGACACTGTACCAGTCAGACACAAAGTATAAAAATACTGATTCAATGATCAGTCATCCAATTTTTTCTCCATCTACCACATTCATATTGATGTGATGTAAGACACGTCTTGATGCTGCCGTAGCGTTAACACACTAAACAGCTGAGCTGAAGAGGTAAATGTAACGTGGAAAAATTAAGAACAAAAGCAGAAAATCTGTGTAGCGACAACCACAACACATCTGTTACATGTGCTTTCCCCTCATGTTGAAGTATTTGTCAATGGGATACCAAGAGTCATTATCTGTTAGAGATGTTTTAAAACAGCTCAGACTTACTGAAGGACAACAAGGAACAATCTTTAACTTCATCTGTGATGGGCAGCAAACATGTCTGCATCTGTGGAGCAAGTTTAGTCCTTCCTGAAATCTCACCGTGATGCAAGCTTTACCTGCTGTAGTGTTTTTATTCAAGAAAATGTATTTGTTTCAATTTAGAAAGAGTAAAATAAAGTATTTTTAGGTGATGTATAACTTGTTTAGTTTTTGAATGCTCCAGTTAGACAGGACTCATTTTTGTTACTTGATAGCGAGTTTAAAGACAAATGAAAATAATTGAGAGAATCATAATCTCAGTTCCCACTAATAAAAACTGAGATTCACATTTTACGGCCCTAAAAGTCCATATTGAACATGCTAATGTGTTTTGTAATGTACATAATGCATTTCTTGATGCAGGGAAACGGTTGGGTGATTAAAACAATCTAAACAACAGCTTTACAGTCCGTATTTAAGTTTTAATTTTTTTTAAAAAGAGCAAAAACTGACTGATGTCTGGAAAAGGCAATAGATTTTAAAAAGTTTGCACATCGAAGTGGTGTTAAAAATAACAGTGATGTTTCAAAGTATTAAAGTACCTGTGAGTCCCGTGCTCACTCCTCCACAATACACAGTGCAGTTACTGGGGCTGGACTGACTCATTACTTCTTCAAACGACAGATGCTTGGAGTTAGCTGCGAGGAAAACAAACGGCTCTGCTGTTAAAATGTTCACTCAACGCACAAAGAAAACTACGTCGACAACTGTCTCAGCGCACTTTCATAGGTGGTCTTCGGGGCGGGAGGCTTCCTTGTGGCCCAGTTAGTTCGAATCTGTCTGCCACCTAACCACTGCCCCCCCATGTGCTGAATGGCATTCTCTGCATCCTGAAACGAAAGAGGAGCCTTGTTAACAGCAGCCCAACGACAAACGAGCCACCGAGTAATCTGTTACAAAACCCAAACTTTAGAGGTTTCATGAAAAGAGCAACGTTGTTTGTAAGATCCAAACCCTTTTCAGCATTAACAGGATGGCTGATTACCCATTTATTGAAGAAAGACACGAAGCCATAGCCTTTAGATTTCCCTGTAGCCATATCTTTCACAACACGAGCATCTCTGTAAAAAACAAAAAAACACCATTAACTTCAGCAAAATAAGAACTGCTGTATAAAGTGGGAAATAACATTTAATCAATTTCTTTTTAAACACAAATCGAAAAAATACAACGCAACTACCTACATTGTCCATCTTAGTTCATCAACTGTACTTGCATACATTTTCATAAGTGCATGTTCTGTGCTCATTTTCTTTATTGTTCAATATTTTTAAGACTAACAAGTAACCGATCAGGTTTGCATGGTTATTGCATTACTTTCTCATATCAGAACAGACTAGGATCTTAAGATTAAATTTTATTTATTATTTTTTTTAAATCTGTTCATCAGTTTCTGTGTCAACACTTACGATATCCTCCCAAATGGAGCAAAGGCAGCTTTGACATCTTCTGTGGTTATTTCTGGACTGAGGTCGCCAACAAACACATGAAAATGATCTACAGTGGGGATAAATATGTAGCTCTGTCAATCATTTCAATTCGTCAACATTTTTTATGCATTAGCACAAAAATATGCACTCCTACTCAGGTGCTTGCACTTACTACTTGTGTCTTTTTTCTGGCTTGATGGTGTCGTTGCCCAGTTGACTTTGACCTCCTGCAGACAAGAAAAAAACAGGCCAGGTGGGGTATGTTTATATCAGTAAATAAATCCTCCACTATATGATTGATCAATTTAAAGATAAATCTAAAAATACTAATAAAAAGATAAAAAAAAATAGAATATTTATACATATTCTTATGTGGTGCTTTCAAACTCAACTCACTGTTTATATGTTAAAAGGGAAGACAAAACGTTGAATGAGATCTTACATCATTAGTTATCTTAATGGATCTTCTAAGAGTAAAAAGTGGTTGAAAAGTTATATAATGAAAGATTTCAAATTAACTGCACTGAAATCATAATTATGCTAACCTGTAACACTATATTGTACTTTTAATCAGTTTTTTTTTAATGTTGCAAAATAAAATCCTAATGGTTTACTTCATTGTTCCTTTATATTTATTTCTTTTCTCAAACCTCATAGCTAAGAATTATATAAATATCCAGACCAGTTTAAGAGAATATCTCGTGAACAAGGCTGGCAACTTGGCTGCTTCCCTCTGTATTTTTTTTATTAAATCAGACTATTTTTAATTAAATCAGACTATTAGAAAGAACCTTGTAAGTGTGCCAGTCAGTTGTTAGAAAGCACAAGCAAAGTTTTCCATCTCCACAACCCGCCCACCCGTCCCCACTCACCCTGTAGATACGATAGCTTACCTTACCCAATATTTTCCTTCCATTCATGGCAGCCAGTGAGGCAGCAGCGTGTCTGTGGTCGTAGAACTCCACAAAGCAATATGGATCATTCCCAGCCGTCTGTCAGGGAGAAACAGACACTGATGTGAAGTCGTTCAATCACTGCTGAGGTCTAGAACCACCTACTAATGACTGCCATGTCAAACCTGATCATTGTACAAAATCAGAAGCAGCAACACTCACATCGTTTATCATTTTACAGCTTTTACAGGGTCCTATCTGTGTGAAGACCTGTAGAATGAGGGGCTCGGTGACATCCCTGGACAGATTTCCCACATATCTGCAGGCAACAGGAGACAGGCTGTGTTAAACAGGAAGTAACATGCAAACAAAGGCTAGCACGCTGGGCTAGCAAGAGCTACATCAATAAATACATTCAACAAAATAAAACAGAAATTCATAAAGAAGACTGAACAATACAGAGCCATGTTCGATGGTTTTCAGGAGAAACTAAAGGACGGTCGCCCCCTCACAGGACGTGTCCCGGACGGTCTGTCCGAGCGTTGACGTGGCTGCGCTGCTAGCTTGGTCGGTCCAAACAGGCCTCGGCTCGAGTGTTAGCACCAAATGACACTTTCGAAATCACAAATCACACAGAGTCCGTTTCAGTCTGGATTATGTTTCCCCGATGGTGCTAAAACACCACCACTGATGTGTATATATAGTTATATGGTCACGAAAACGGTGGACATTAAGAGGAAACGGTGGGCTAATTACAACAGGAATGCTAACGGCTACAAGCTAACAGTTTCAATTCCGTGCGAGTAAAACGGTTTTATTTTTACGTCAAGAACAACAAATTGCTGTTAATAAAAACTCCTCATGACGTTCACAAAGGTCACTGATGTTTTAGAATAGCAAAATTACTAAATAAATTACACTGAGAGACGATGTGAAAAGGCTTTTTGAAACAACAACGTGGAAACATTTGGGAACAGCACAGCAAGTAGACGGAGCCTACGCATTCCTGGACATAGACAGGGCCGCAGTTACTCACAAGGTTCTGGGCTGTTCGTCGTCCATCGTGAAGATTAAGCGGTGGAGTCCTGAGAGGTCTTTAGTCCAATGACATACAAAGTGACTAAACTTGAGCGGCCGCGGATGTAAGAATTGTATCTACAGATTATTAATAAACCCGCGACGGATCCTGGTCTCGCACACGGCGCAGAGCCTCTCTCTGTCTGATGCAAACAATAGGAAGTTGAAGATGGCGGAGGAGCGGCGTCAGCAGCAGCGTTAAACTGGCAGCAGCGTGCTGACACCAACCACTATTTCTCTCTCTACAACATACAGACACACATCTATTTATCACAAGTTACACTCAAGTACAATGTCTGTTCACTCAGCGTGTCAAATATTTTCCATTAGCCTATTTTTTATTATTTAAACAAGTGCGCAAACGCACATTGTTTAAAATAGTGGGTGTTTTAAATTTATTTTATAATGCTATTTTAGTAACTTTTATACAAATCATGAAGCGTTAATGCGGTAAGTTTTGTCCAAAGATAATCAAATCGAGTTTTAAAAAAAAAAAAAAAACGTGCGCCGCCCGGGAATCGAACCCGGGTCGCAAGAATGGGAATCTTGCATGATACCACTACACCAGCGGCGCTGTAGTTACAGGGAATCAAGTATTAATTTTAAAAGATAGTTTTAAACATTGTTTTATAGTAAAGCTACTAGGGTTAAGCTAGGTCTTCTGGACGGATTTTTCTTGTTGAAACGTTTCGTCTTTTATCCAAAAGACTTCTTCAGTCTGAGGAGCTGCAACAAAGTCAGTCTTATAAATAGCACCTTCTCATAGTGGATCATCCAGTTTGCTGGTGGCAGACAAAACTAGCTGTTCACATGTAAAAGGAGGACCATCATCCTAACAATGGATCGTTAGTGCCCTAAAAATTGATCGTTAGTGCCCTGATGGCCGCTTGTTATTGACAGAGGGCTGGGTGATACTTGCAAACCAACCTGGTTTGAGAGAGGAGTAAAGGAGGCCATCTTTGTGAAGAGAACCCGTCCATCGTTAAACCGGAGCGGGGGTCTCCGTGTCCAGCTATCACCCTCTTACAATGCTGTTATTGCAAGTATTAGTATTAGTGTTTAGTGTTATTGTGCAACCATCCCCCTCTCTTCCAGCAGCAGTTTTCACCTCATCACCCCCACTACTGGCAGATCGTCCCCCACCCTCAGCTCCACCAGCGTCATGTGGTCACCACATCGCCTTGACATGAAGACCCTGGAGCGACTGCTGCTGAAACTCCTCAGACCTCACATTCGACATGCTGAGGTCCATCTACAGTTCGCATACCGGGAGAAGGTGGGGGTGGATGATGCTACTCTCTACCTTACACACAGGGCCCCTGCTACTGAGAGACAACTTCAGGAGATGGAAGTGGACACACATCTGGTCACCTGGATTACAAACTGTCTCACTGAGAGACCACAACACATCAGGATCAGGGACTGCATCACAGTGGTTAGCAGCACAGGAGCACCACAGGGGACCGTGCTCTCTCCTGTTCTGTTCACTCTCTACACATCTGACTTCAAATAAAACTTGGAGTCTTGCCACATACAGAAGTACTCACATGACGCTGGGATCGTTGGGTGTGTGATGGACAAGAGGAGGAGTACAGGACCCTGGTTGAGGACTTTGTAGTGTGGTGCAAATCCAACCATCTACAGCTGAACATCACTAAATCAAAGGAAATGGTAGTGGACTCAGAAGGTCTGGGCCAACCCGAAGCCAGTCTCAGTAGAGGAGGTCGATGTGGAGGTGGTCATGACCTACAAATATCTGGGCATACAACTGGATGACAGGCTGGACTGGTCAGTGAACATGCATTTTAAACCCTTCCCACACTCTTGAAAGTTCTAAACAATATTTCTAAATGCTATAAAAGAGCACATAATGTCATGATCTCAGCTCCTTGCCTCCTCTGCTCTTTGCCACCTGCAAGCGCTCTTGGCCCTGCCCACTTCTTAGCTCTGCATGGTGAACAGCTGATCAGCTGCAGCAGGAAGTCTATCCTGCAGCAGTAAGTGCAGCACATATTTCAGGAGAAAGCTTTTTCTGCAGCTCTAGGCTGCACAAAGGTGCAGCAGGTGCTAAATAATTTAAAATAATTTATTTTAAATAAAAATGTCATGCCGATCATGCGGCTTATCCATAAATCAGCCAATTGTGTGTAGAGCTGTTATTTCTAATCCAAACCCGGAGCCCGGCCCCACCCTACCCGGATTCGAACCGGGCCGGTCCATAATAATGCGCTTAATATGCGGGCTGGGTCGGTGTCAGGCTTTTGATTGCGTCAGCGGACGCACACAGCTGACGATCCAATATATGGTAACTTGGCTTGTCATACAATCACTAGCCACATATGGTCATTTGACCGTGCGCTGACTGGCCTTGAAAGAGGTAAAAAGTTCAGTTAAGCATCAGATGGACTACTGCCAGCGATCTATCACCCAAATGGACGTTCATTCAGCAGCTCTGTGATTCAGCCGCTGCACTGAATCACACAACCGGGAGCAGCTGATTAACATCTCAAAGCTCAAATATTACCTCAAATACAGCCCCAAATCCCAAATGAGTTGTAAAGGAGGCGCCATGGATGCATTTCCGTCTACCTGGCAGAGGTGTTCAAGTGACTGCCGAGATCCTGGAGCTGGCAGGACTTGCGGCTCATGATAACAGAAAGACCAGGATCATCCCCCGACACCTGCAGCTGGTTGTTTGCAACAATGAGGAGCTCAACAAGCTGCTGAAAGAAGTGACCATCGTTCGGGGAGGAGTTCTGCCCAAGATGCAGGTGGTCCTGCTGCCCAGGAGGACCAAGAGGCCTGCTGCACTGGGTCCAGGTGGGGATTGGCATCTGCAGCCAGTTTCTTCAGATCCACTGTGGTACGGACTGCTGCAGATCCTTCCTACCCACAGCCATCAGCATGTACAGTATAACAACTCTTAATGAAACCAGGATGAGCTACAACAACATTTACCTTTGGGATTAATAAAGTATTTTCAATTGAATTGAATTAGTTTTGGCTGCCACCAGCAAATGGTTGATCCACTATGAGAAGGTGCTATTTATAAGACTGAGTTTTCTGCGCCTGTTCAGACTGAAAAAGTCATTTGGATAAAAGACTAAACATTTCAGTAAAGAAGAAACCGTCCAGAGGACCTCACTTAACCTTGTTAGTTTTTTCTATGTGGATTATTGATTATGCATTGGGATGCTTATCGTTTAAACTTATCCTGAACTGGGTTCTGTGTACTCTTTTGCTTGCTTTACTGTCTACATAAATTGAAAGTGATTTGACACTTTTGTGATAGAGAGGGAGCCTTTTTACGAAATAAAAACCAGCGAAAACAGGTTCCAGCCTGGTTTGTTTCAGTGTATTTAGCAAAAGTTTTCTAACAAGATAAAGTTATTCTAAGATACGAACCTATAAAGAAAATAGGAAGTTAATAAATCTTCTTCTGGCTGTTCCCTCTTCAGGAGTCTCCACAGCGAGTCATCCTCATCTCTGTCCTCACTTATATAGTACTTCCATGTAACTGAGGACATCTCTTTGGTCTTTTTCCTGTCAGATGCATTCCCATCATCCATCCTGCCTTGACTAGCTGCTTCACCTCTTCACCACTCATGTTTTTCCGGATAGTCAGTCGATACTTTGCAATCCTAATCCTGCACCTTTGGGACTTTTCTGCTGCTGTTCACGTTGATGTCCAGTAGGTGGCGCCATAGATATCTATGGGTGGCGCAAACGCACGAGAAGGGGGTCTCTGCAGACCAAAAGTGGGCGTTTCTGGCGAATAGGCGTTTGTCGGCTGCGAACACTGATTGGCTGTGGGTAACCCTCAAAGTCACGAGGATTATTGATGAGGTAACGTTTCTTTGCGATATTTGACAAAGAAATATGGTTTATTGTACTTATAAAGTATGTTATGTTTTCACTTATGCATTTTATTGAAGTACGTTTATTGTAGGTCACGATAGTTTCGACCGTTCTCTCGTTGTTGTCGTAACGCACTGAGGTAACGTGAGCCTCCACTCGGCTCCTTTTCAAAATAAAAGCTGAAAATAAAAGTTCTTAATACTTGAAAAATAAATATTTAAAAGCTGTGTATAACTGAAAAATATGAAAAAAATAAATAAATAAAAGTTGTTATTAGCTGAAAAATACATAAATAAAAGCTGTTAATTATATCTATGTCTTTCTGCCATGTCAGGGACCACTCTCACTTCAGACTGACTCTAGAAGACCCCAAGATGTTGCCCAACAATGTTGACCAACATCTGATGTTGACTTCCATTACTCAATAATGAGTAATAGCTTATTCAATAAAAAGTCTGCAATTTGTCAATAATAGTCAATAATTCATTCAAGAATAGATTATGGGTGTTTGGTATGGCTCAGTGGCTAAAATGGGTTGGATGTTAGAGAAATTACTTAATTTTCAATTACCTGAATGCACAAATTCCTTCATTTATAGTTAAACTTTAGGAAATCAACTTTTTTTTTCTTGTGAAAAAAATATCAAAATTAACTTTAAAATCCAATCCAGGATTAAGTAACAACTAGCAACACTCTAACTGTACTGTGTTCTGTGTTTCCAACAGATGCTACGATGACTTCTAAAAATGGATGTCCCAATAAACACAATAAAAAAAATTCAATGATGCATCAAATGTTGTCTGAGTATGTTTTAAGGTAATAACAAATGTGAAATCTGGAAAACAAAGAGAATTCCTGAATCTGTCTTGTGTGCTTTGATGTGTACATAAGTTTATTGGAGGTCCTGAAACAACTTTTCTGAGAACACAAAGATTTTTATTTTACCTTTGGCCAAGATGTCAGTTTGAAATCAGGCTGCTTACTGCAAAACCAAGAGGTTTTTTTAAGACAGACAGTCTTCATTTGTATTGTTTTGTCGACTAAGCTAAATGTAATTTCTAAAATATGGATAAATCTGATCTCATCATGCAGCATGAGGTGTGAGGGCCAAAAGTCTGGTTATGTACTGACTCCTAAATGTGCTGGTTTTCTACTGAAACATGGAGTAGGGTTGACCTTTAAAATGTGAGACAGCTGAGGAAGTTAACCAGTAAACAGAAATACCTGCTCCAGTTGCAGAAATCTTACAGAAACTGACAATCACTCATCTGCAGTGACTGCAGGTTGAACAAGACAATGTGAAGTTAAAGGAAACCTCCTTTGTCCCAAGGCCAGTTTAAGTATCATTAATATTTTTCTTTCTTTATGAATCGATTGTAACTTTGTTCACATTTTTCAATAACCAAAATGGAATTTGTTTTTTTAATGTTATGGCTAGGTATTAAAAAAAAACCTAACATTTAGCTCTCCCCACTACCCAGTTATGTTGCTGTTATTTTGAAATGTAACCGGAAGTTCTGTGTTAAGAGAGTCGAAAAAAGAAGTTATGGAGACGCCGCGGCAGTATACTGGAGCAATGTCGAACCGAGACGCCGCTAATGTCGAACCGGTTAACACCATAGACATAATATGCCTGTGGTTAACACAATCTGCCAATAACGCCTTGTTTTTAGACATCATGTGTCTGTGGTTACGGCATTTTATCGTTCAGCCTTTTTTTTTCTATCGTTCAGCCTTTTTTTTTCTATCGTCCAATCAGATGTGGCCGTCCGGACACGCCCATTTTTCTATCGTCGAATCAGATGTGGCCGTCTAGACACGCCCATTTTTCTATCGTCCAATCAGATCCGGCCGGCCAGAAACGCCCATTTCCTATCGTCCAATCAGATATGACCGCCCAGATACGCCCACTTTCCTATAGTCCAATCAGATATGAGCGCCCAGATACGCCTTCCGAATTTGCCTGCAGAGACCCCTTCTTGAAACGCACCACTCGGTTGAGTCGTCCTCCACAGTCGAAGAAGAACCAAGAAATGGGCGGTTCTTGAACACGCGAAGAAGAAGACAGATGTCGGCCAAGTAGGTATCTCTGCACATAGATATTATATATGACTAGATACAGCATTGACCGCTATCGTCTATTGGCGCTGACGAGCTGTAGGGCCGCCATCTTGTAACGGTCGACCGATCCACTCAGTGTAACCTGTTTGACAGGAGCAATGAAGTATTTGTATATATATATATATATATATATATTGCCATTGTTTACTGTTCCATCTGGAGCAGGTCTCTTGTAAATGAGTCCTTGTGGCTCAATGAAGCCAACCTGTATAAATAAAAGGTTGAATAAATCATTATGTATATCTATATATTCATTCAACCTTTATTGATACAGGTTAGTTCCATTGAGCCAATAGGACTCATTTACAAGAGAGACCTGGATTTTAACAAAGAGTGATGACAACAGTGGATAACAAACTGTTTTTCAATTGTAAAACAAACAAACAATAAAAAATTGTATGAATCATTTGTGAATGTGTATTGTTGTTGTTGTTATCAGTGTCTTATTATCTTGTGCTCTGGTCCAGTGTCTTCATGGACGATGTGTGTGAGGGTGGACATGTTTGGAGGTTGCTGTGTTGAAGCTCCATGGATCAGCCTCTCTGCAGCTCTCAGCACCTTCACTGAGCCTTGAGGGAATCACTGAGCTGCTGCTGTTCTTCACAGTTAGAAGGTGGGAGCTCTCGTCAAATGATGATCTCCAGCATCATCTTGTTCATGCCAGGCTTTTCATCCACTGACCACAGACACCTGTAAACATCAGGGGGACCAGCAGCTGTTTAACACATCTGGAAGGAAACCAGTGAGATTTTAATATGATCATTATGATATGATATTATGTGGGGGAGTGGCCTGTGATGGGAAAGTCGCAGGTTCAACTCCCGGTACCGTCAACATCAAAATGAGGTGGAAAAGGTGAAACACCCACACCTGCCTCCACCCTCATTGGCCCCACCCTGGTCACCTGAGCAAGGCACTCAACCCCCACCATCTGCTCCTAAACAGGTCTCTCTTTAAAATGACTTCTCTTGACTCAGTGAGACTACCTGTATAAATAAAGGCTAAATGAAAAAATAAAAGTTTAAAATAGAAATAGTCACATCATGAGGCCAAGGTTGTGTGTGTGACGTGCACGTTCCTGAGGTTGTGTGTGTGACGTGCACGTTCCTGAGAGGCCACAGACAGAGCAGCTCCAGCTTTTGTTGAGTTCCTGTAGTCTTGCAGTTTTCAAGCTGAAATGAAAAAGCATCATGAATATGAACTTTAGTCTCTAGTTACCTGTTCATATAAACACATGGAGGTGTCTCACCTTGTGACTGACAATAAAATATGTAAATTTATGAACTCTAATGAACTTATAATGATGCTCCTACTCTTTGAAGGTGAACCGATGGTACCACACCATCTCTCAGACAGACAGTCTGATCAGTTTGATCAAAATCCTCCAGTTTAAAATCCTCACTGCTCTGATGAATCCTCCTCAAAGATACTTCCTCCTCTTCCTCACATCTTGTTCTTTGGGAAACCTTCAAAATGAAAACAGGAGATTTGTGTCTACACAAAAACATTGTACAAAGGAGGTCAAGCTTATTTTCTATTTCCTATATTCTCCCTAGTTTTATTTTTTATTTCCTAGAACTTGAACAAAACTCCAATTATGATACATATCTCTTGATAATGAACCAAAGCTACTGAAATAGTGAGTATGATTGTTAGAAAAATGTTCCTGTCATCAGATCTCAGTCAGCTTCATTGCAGCTGAACACCATGTTACACTGAACATCACATCAGCTGGTGGACATAAATACAGTACAGTAATATTATATTCACAAAATACTAACAATAATATGTTCATCTTACTGTGAAAAGTTATCCCCCGAGACCTGACGTCAACAGTCCGTCGATCTGAACAGAAATAAGCTGCGAAGTGCTGAGACATCTTCTGCTTTAACCAAATAAGGACGACCGTTTCAAGATGGCAGCCGAAAATCCTGCGCCGCAGCAGCCAATGAGGCATCTAGTGATTATATCTATGGAGAAAACGGTCGAAACTATCGTGACCTACAATAAACGTACTTCAATAATATGCATAAGTGAAAACATAACATGCTTTATAAGTACAATAAATCATATTTCTTTGTCAAACATCGCAAAGAAACGTTACCTCATCAATAATCCTCGTGACTTTCAGGGTTACCCACAGCCAATCAGTGTTCGCCGCCCACAAACACCTATTCGCCAGAAACGCCCACTTTTGGTCTGCAGAGAACCCCTTCGTCATGTCGGAGTAAACATGGCTTCTGCAAATCAGAAGCAAGAAGCATAATTAAACAAAAACTGAAGGAAAAGTGGCAGAAAGAATGGAATGAAGAAAACAAAAGAAGAGTGGGAGAGATGAGAACAGGAGGGAGAAACAGAAGAGAAGAGAGATTAGTAACAAGACTGAGATTTGGACACACTGGACTGAACAACACATTATTCACACTACATAAACACGAAACAGGAAATTGTGGAGAGACAGAAACAATAGAGCAAGTGATTTTAAGTTGTCAGAGATATGAGAGAGAAAGAAGACACATGATGGAGGAACTTAGAAAGATTAAAGAAACATTAAATATCACAAACATACTACAGAAAGAGTCAGCAAGTAAAAGTGTAAAAATTTTGATAAGGTTCTTCGTTAAAACAAAGCTGATCAATAGGATATGATTAGGACAGACAACACATACACAAGTAAATAGAATTTATTTATTTATTTATTTAAAAAAGCATTCTGACCCACACTCCATACCAGTAAGTGGCGGTCATGCACACCATAAGTTGTTTGCCAACCGCCAATAAAACTGAAGAAGAAGAAGAAACATGGCTTTTCTGAGTATATATGCAGTAGAATCATGTGCTATATTATTGGCTTTAGAATGGGTGGAGGATAGTAGAATAAGTAAAATTACAGTTTACAGTGATTCATTATCAGCACTATTAAGCATTGAAAAGGGAACTTCAAGTAATCACCAACACATCTTGTATGAGATTCTGTTTGTTCATCATAGACTTTGTGAACAAAACAAAACTATAGTAATTATGTGGACTCCTGCTCATTTAGGTATTTTAGGTAATGAAAAAGCAGATAGGGTGGCTAAAGAAGCTGTTAAAAAAGAAGATATTGATATGTCAATAAAATTATCTAAGTCTGAAGGAAAAAGTATAGTTTGGAAAGAAAGCAATAAATTATGTGAAATGAGCTGGAATAATGAGACAAAAGGGAGACATTTATACAGGATACAGAAAACAGTTGATGTTAAAAGAATCGGAGGAATAAATAGGAGGGAGGAGATAATTATAAATAGAATAAGAACCGGGCATAGTTTTTTGAATGGCACTCTTTTTAAGATGGGGAAACATCTTACTGGTTTATGTGACTGGTGTAATACCACAGAAACAATAGAACATGTTTTTATTAATTGCAGGAAATATGTGGGTCAAAGAAGATTATTGAGAATGGAAATAGGTTGTAAAAGGGAACTAAAATTTGAAAATGTGGCTTCGCAGCTGAATAGTGAAGAAGGGAAAAGAAAGACATTTCGTTTTTTAAATAATACTGGACTCAATAAGAGAATTTGAGGAAATAAATTAACTTATAAACACCAAGAGATGGCAGTAGTGCAACATTGATGGATGCAAGCTGCCGTTAAAAACCAAAGAAGAAGAAGAAGAAGGAACATGGCTTCTCCTGCTGGTTGTGAACATTATGTCCGCAGGTGTTTTCTGAAAGTGAGTGAACTTTGTTTCAGCGGTGTTTGTGGAAACATGTTTGTTGAGCAGAAGTGTTCTGCTGCAGGCTTTAGCTCCGGTGTCACATCCACAGGGTCTCACTTAGTGTCCCGTTTGGCTTTGACTCTGCTCACAGTTAGTATCTTTGTTGTTGTTAAAATAATTAACACAGTTATTATTAATTACGATACAGCATGTATAATAAAACAAATGTACTGAAAAGCTAATTTTTCTCTCCTGAATCAGTGTTGCGGCAGAATTAACGAAGGCTGTGAGATGATTGACCCCCATCACCTCCACGATGATGATGATGATGATGATGTTCATGTGATGGGTTCAGCCTGTGTTTCCATATCTGCAGGCCCCTTGCTGTGGTAAACTCTATGTGTGTCGACTGTGCCACGACGCAGAGGAGAACCACCAGATGGATCGCTTTAAAGTCAGAGAGGTGCAGTGCTCTGAATGTCAAACCTTACAGCAGGTGACTATCTGATCAGAATGCAATTTATGAAGGCTTGGATCAACACAAATCCAGGTCAAAGACATTGTGATGACATCAGCATGGATCTAGGTACTTCGTGACGCTTCTTGAAACTCTTTTTCCAGATCCTTCATTACAGCCAATGAGGTAATTGTTCCTCCGGCTGGTAACTTTGTTCATGCTACGTGACACGACCGACTGTTCGTCCACAGTGTCCTTGCAGCTCTCGCAGTAATTATGTAAAACGAAGCATGCAAATAGGACATGGGGCGATTCTTTTAGATTGGTGTCTATCAGTCTCTTCACGCATGCAAACCTGGCCTTAAGCCAGCCAAATGTGCACTATCACCTTGCACGCCCTACACAAACATCCAAAATATTGCTCCTGTGGAGCAGATCCACCATTTGAATATTCCTTCATGAGGTATGGTAACGACTGGTAAGCAGGGTCTCCCAAGAGAAAAATGGGAATGGGCTCCTCGCCCTCCACCATCTGCTTTTCCAGTGCAGGGATTTGTCCAGTTTTGAAGTATGTGTTGATATTTGAGTGTGCAAAGACACAAGCATCATAGACGCTCCCGACCCACCTCACAACAACATCCATAAATCTATAATCACACACGGCTTGCACGTTCTGTGAAAATTTAGCCTTCCTGTTTACAAAGTGTGTGGATTTAAAAGAAGACTGTTTTATTTCAATGTGTGAAACCCAAAATATATTCCATCAGTCGCAGCACAGAAAGCAGGATGTTATACTCCGCCACCATTGTTGTTGAGTAAAAAGTAAAAATGTTTGATCCTGCTCCTCCAGGCGCAGCAGACCTGTCAGGAGTGTCACGTCACGTTTGGGGAGTATTACTGTGATATATGTCACCTGTTTGACAAGGATAAGAAGCAGTACCACTGTCTGCCATGTGGGATATGCAGGTGAGAAGCTACACACCATAAAACATAACAACTCGTTGAATATTACCATATTTTTTGGCCTATAAAGCTCGTTTTTTGCATTCCTTGTGACTTGCAGGCCGAAGCGACGTATTTATGAATTTTCTCCAAATTTATAAACCAATTTTTGGCTGAGATATGACCGTTTTCATTTATTCTGACTGGAAAAAAAGAACAGATCCATTTTCAGCCACTAGATGGCAGCAGAGTAGTAGCAGTAAGGCATGCCTTGTATGTAGGGATGCACCATCCACTTTTTTTTTTTTACTTCGATCCGATCCCGATACCTAAATCTAAATATCGTCCGATACCGATCCAGTTCCGATATCATCATCATCATTGATTTTATATGAGGCAGTAATAATCTGCTCTCAAGTACAATTTGTACAAATATATGCATGCATGTCCAAAAAGGCAACTTGAGGTAAGTTGTATTAATGTTGGATAAGTTTCAAAGTTAGAATTAAATTCTGCTAACACAAAACATGTTTCTTTTTATTCCTAGTTTTAAAGTGGATATTAAAGTGATTAATTTAAGTGTTTGTTTAAAGTTTTTTTTTATATAAGAATTTTTTTTCTTCTTTCTGCACTCTTTTCATTCAATATTTTCTTTTTGATGATTTTTTTTTTTTTTAATTTTGTTTCTTTTAAATGAATGAATTAAATTAAATTAAATGTTAAATGGCTTTAAACATCTGCTAAGTTCATGGCATAAACCAACAGACATGTTCCTGTTTTTAGTTATTTACATCACTTTATAATGTAGCTGTCTTTGTTTTTAATATAATTTTCAAATCATGTGTTTTTTATGATTGTCTACTGTTGTACTGATAAATATCTCCTGGAGGGTAAACTATATCTTGGCTGCAAGTATCAAACTGAGAAATCCTTCGTTTTCTACAACTGATAGTGGTTGGTCATTAATTATGATGAAGTTTAGCAACTTCTCGGTAAACATTTGAGCTCCGTGGTTTCAGCGACGTCTTCTTCTTGTTCAATCCGAAGCAGGCAGCCTGATTTGGGGCAGCCACGCTCAGTCTGTCCCTCCTCAGAGACGGGCAAATTGGACGCGGCTGGCCGGGGTTGAGTTGCCTATTGTGCGTTGAGCAAAGAGCAGCACACCGCTGAAGCCACGGAGCTCGAATGTCCATCGTAAAACTAACTTTACCGCGGTTTAATGTGGCGCTATGGCTCTGCAGACATTGCACGTTGCTGTCTTGTTTTGTGCTGTTTAGTGTAAAATACTTCCACACAGCGGACATGTTTTATTTAGATGAAAAGTTTGTTAGCTGTTAGCCACAGTGCTGCTAACTCAGTCCTCACGTTGTAGCTGGCTGCAAACTATGAACTGGATTTCCTGAATGTGAAGCGGGTCTTATTACTCTGGATTCATGAGACACGCGGCCGTTCAGGAAATCCACTCCATAGTTTGAAGCCAACATGCATCATGGATCGGAAATATCGGCAGGTGGATCGGAAAATCCGATACGTAAATAATGCTGGTATCGGAGGCCGATACTGGATCGGATCGGCCCCATCCTTAGTTGTATCATGTAATAGGTAAACATGGCTATAATGACAAATTCAAAAAAGTTCAAGACAAAAACAACTGGACTTTATTTATTATACTATACTTTATGTTTTGTTTTGTTTTTCTTGAACTTTTTAGAATTTACTATGTCGTGGATGACTGAGAAGCTTCACCAGATATTAATGACACAATCAGCTTGCCAAAGTCTCCCCACCTTCGTTCTGCTCGCTGCTTGGAGCAAGTTAAACCATCCGCACCGCCCCGGCAAAATGCAGCTAATTTGACCATTAAAGTGCATTTATTAAGCAAATGTTAGACTGAGGCACACATTTACGATAATTTTGAGCAAACAAATAATTGTTTTTAAGTATTATTCTTGTTAAATTCTTGTTAAAATCCTCTGCGGTCGCCATTTGGCAGCCAATCGATTTTTGGCACAACACTGGCCCACATTTCCGGGTTGTCAGCGGTGACGCTTAACAAACGCGACACATCAGCAGTGACACATAACGGACGTGACGTATACGGCGAAGTGACATATTCATGGATTTTTTAAAACTTTTTTAGACATATTTGGACTGATGTGACTTATAGGGCGGAGCAACGTGTACAGCAGAAAATACGGTATTTATAATAACTGAGGGAATGCCCTAAAGTGAATACCTTATTACAAAGGAACAACAAGTACAGTTGGAACTGTAAGCCAAAATAAAATATTAAAAGGATGTTTTGGATGATTTGAAATTAGATTCTCTGGAAATATTTTGAACAATCACTGTCTTATCTAAAAAAGTTAAATCTGGTCCTCTGGACATTCAAAAAAAACAAAACAAAAATAAATGTCCAGAGGACCAGATTTAACTTTTTTAGATTTTTCTACCTGGATTATTGAGCATGCATCAGGAAATCACTGTCTTACTTGTTTTTAGTAGGTCTTTGGATGGCGGCAGTTTAAACCGAGTTTAGTTTTGACAGCTTTGATGAGCTAATGACTAGTCTGAATGAGGCCGGATTAATGGCACTTTAAAACAATTGTAATCTCAAACATTTCATAGAAGTTCACAAAAACAAAACTTTACGCCTCGTTCTTCACCCAGGAAGCGTCGTCCTAGCTCTAAAACATTCAGCTTATTTAGGCGACAGCTGCTTTCACTCATTCTGCTTTATTGTTTCCTTAGACATCTTTACTAAAATGTTTTTATACAGTGCCCTGAGACGACTTTTGACGTGAATCTGTACTCATTTAAATAACGTGAATAAAACTGAAAAACAATTTATCGTGAAATGTCTTGGAAAAATAATACAGTAGGTGGGGGGTTCTAAACTAGAGATTCTGAATGCTAACCACATACGGGGTGGAAAAATAAAATAACAAACGTGTTGATGTGTTGAAGCACTCACAACTTTCAGTTTGCAAGCTGCAGTGTTACATCAAGTCTTCCTCTTCATAAAATAACTCGAAGTCAACAAACTTGAAGCTTTGCTGCTAAAGGAAAACACAAAACTGCCTCATAAATACCGTAGTTTCCAGACTATTGAGCGCTCCTGAATATACCGTAAGCTGCGCTCACTAAATACAAAATATAAGTACATACATTGGCCACGCTTGTCTATAAACCTCTGGTGTCCACATTGTAACATGAGATATTTACGCGGAAAGATTTTTTAAAACTTTTAATTAAATACGTACCAATAACATACACAAATACGTACAGTAATTTTTTATTGTTTTTTTGATAGAGGATTTTTTTTACCCTGCTCTGTTGTCAGGATCCACTTGCAGACTTGAACAAAACTTGCTGTTCGCATGAGGCCAGTTTCTGAAAACAATTTCTCACCGCCAGTCCAAGCCTCCCACTGAGCTCGGAGTGCCACGTTAATGCACGATTCACACTTATTTCAAGTAGCTGCAAATATTTTGTTGTGCCTCCAGGGAGGGGAGGAGTGTACGGGATTTTATTTCCTGTTCGGTAATTTCATTGGTCAGATTTTATTTTTTAACCTTTATTTATACAGGTAGTCTCAGTGAGTCACGAGGACCCACCCCCCAAGAGAAACGTGTATTGGGCAGCTATGTGAGCGCTCGGGTGTGACGAGGCTAAATGTTTAGGCAGCATGAAGCTCGTTAGCCCATCAAAAAAAGACGAGCTTAAATTAGCCGCAGCATTGTATAAGCCGCGGGGTTCAAAGCATGTGAAAAAAGTAGCAGCTTATAGTCCATAAATTACGGTATCTGTAGAAAACAAGAGCAAGACCTTTAGAGAAAAACACATCTGAACATTAGAGATGCAGTAATTCAAAATAATTTTAACACCTCCATCTTCTACTCCCCCTTACTTGAGGTCAGGTCACAGAGACAACAAGTCCAGGAGAGAAACCCACACGTTATTTAACAGCATTATTTAACAACAATGATTTAACATTCATTTTAACATCCAAAAACTAAATGTCATTCTGATTTGTGTGAAGTCTTATGGTGTCACCAGTAGGCCTGTCACGATAACAAATTCTGCTGGGCGATTAATTGTCTCAGAAATTATTACGATAAACGATACTATTGTTTGAAATGTTATAATTATTAATTATTGTCAAATTTAAGAAGAACAATTTGTTTTGAGTGTAATACATTTTTTTGACAACTGTATGGCAGTATAAGACTGTTTGAACCGAAGGATGGATAGTGAGGGAGCAGCAGCGTGTCTCTTTAAGAAAAATGGGAGGGAGGCCCCTTGACGTGACATGGGCTGTCTCCTTCCTGTTTTCAGTTCTCAAAATGGCGGATGCTTGGTGTGGTTTGAGCTCTTTAGCATAGCATTTTTCACACAAAGCTTTTAATAAAAAATTCAGTAAACAAGTTCTCAGCTTCTTTTTCCAGAGAAAAACAACTTTTTACACAAAGACACGGGTTTCAACCGTGAATTTTTGAGCTTTGACAAGACCGAGGATTTTTTCCTCGAAGTCGGCCTGTTAGCTTAGCTCGTAGCTTAGATTCTCAGCTTAGCTGCTTTTAACGATCTAAAAACACGATTTTGGATCATTAAAATTAATTTTAAAGAGAAAGGGAGGGGTCAGTGATGAACACCGGAGTTGAGCTTTTTGTCGTCCAGTGTCTTCAAGTAGAAAGAGAGAGACACGAAGAAACAATAAAGCCGCTAAATGAAAATGTGGTTGATAATTTTCATTTATCATGCGATTGATTTATTGCGACATGCCTAGTTACCAGGTCTTATGAACAGTCTGTTTGTTACAGTTTGTTTCCCAATTTCAATGTTTGGAGACGAGATTTGAGTGAACGTGTGTCAGACCAAATGTTTGTGAGGATTATAGCAGACACACTCCTCTGCTGTTCTAAATGAATCCACATCAGAACAGACGTGGAGATTCGGCTTTAACCTGGGAGGAGTTGGCAACAGGCAGTTTGATGAATGTCACCACCTTTATCTCCAGAAACAAATCATTTCTTGTTGCCTTATTCTATTTTCTTATTCACATCTGAGCTGCCACCACAACCAGTCCTAATGAGCTCATTATGTTTCTTGACCTCTGCAGGATCGGGCCCAGGGAGAAGTACTTTCACTGTGAGAAGTGTAATTTGTGTTTAGCCCAGGACCTGAGAGGAAACCACAAGGTGAGGAAGACTCTGCAGCTCGTTCTGCCTCGTTCTCACCAGACGTGCTCCTCCCCTCGCTCCGTTAATTTGCCGTTGTGTTTCTGTTTCAGTGTGTTGAAAACGTCTCAAGACAAAACTGTCCCGTGTGCATGGAGGTAAAAACATTAGAACAAAGGGATGCTAGATTTGAATGTTGACTCTTTGTTTACAGTTTGGTGACATTTGATTGGTCCTTTCTTCTACACAGGATATTCACACATCCAGAATTGGTGCTCACGTTTTTCCATGTGGCCATCTTTTACACAAGTAGGACTCTCTTATGATTTTTCTAAATATTGTTTGGTCAGGGTCTTACATTTGAAGTGTGCGATGGAGCTTTGTGCAGCCTGGCTTTCAGAAATGTTGGAATGTGATCCAAACTGAAAAGAAATAAAAGCGTTCCTGGAAACAAAACAAATCGTCCGCCACCTTTCATCATGGCGAGCAGACAGACAGACAAATTGACTCGCAGACACATGATCATGATGGTGGGCGATAAAAATGGAGTAAGTGATGCAACACGGTGATAAACATGAACTGGTCCAAGCAAGATACATCAAACATGGAGATTTTTTTTTTCTTGAGGACGTCTTCAAAAGTCAACGACAAAGTCCAGTTTCCTTCAAGTCAGTTAGGGTTAGAGTTACAGCGAGTACTCCAGCGTAACTGGGATTCACAACTTTAATATTGTTTCCAAGTTTTTCTTGGATTAAAACTTACAAAAAGAGATGCATTTTAAAAAGTACAACTCTATTACAGTTGTCCCTCGCTACTTCGTGGTTCATTTTTCGCAGACTCGCTCTATAGCAGTTTTTCAAAATAAGATTGGACATGACACACAATTGGCTGATTGATAGATGAGCCTCTTGAGGTCATGGAAGTTTTATTTAAAATAAGTTATTTTAAATTATTTAGCGCCTGCTGCACCTGTGTGCAGCCCACACTGCAGGATAAGCTCCCTCCTTCCTCCTCTGTCGATCTCTGTTCTGCAGTGGAGAAGTGGGCATGGCCAAGAGCGCAGCATGCAGCTGTGTCAGAGATCATGACATGCTTTGCTCTTTTAGAGCATTTAGAGTTTAGAAACATTGTTTAGAATATTGCAAGAGTGTGGGAAGGGTTTAAAATGCCTATATATATACAAATCGGATTCCAAAAACGTTGGGACACTAAACAAATTGTGAATAAAAACTGAATGCAATGATGTGGAGATGGCAAATGTCAATATTTTATTCGTAATATAACAAAGATGACAGATCAAAAGTTTAATCTGAGTAAATGTAACATTTTAAAGGAAAAATATGTTGATTCGAAATTTCAGTGTCAACAAATCCCAAAAAGTTGGGACAAGTATCAATAAGTGGCTGGAAAAAGGAAATTGAGCATATAACAAACAGCTGGAAGACCAATTAACACTAATTAGGTCAATTGACAACATGATTGGGTATAAAAAGAGCTTCTCAGAGTGTCAGTGTCTCTCAGAAGCCAAGATGGTAAGAGGATCACCAATTCCACCATTGTTGCGCACAGAAATATAGTGCAGCAATACCAGAATGGTATTACCCAGCGTAAAATAGCAAAGACTTTTAAGTTATCATCATCAACCGTGCATAACATCATCAAAAGATTCAGAGAATCTGGAACAATCGCTGTGCGTAAGGGTCAAGGCCGTAAAACTCTACTGGATGCTCGTGATCTCTGGGCCCTTAAACGTCACTGCACCTCCAACAGGAATGCCACTGTCAAGGAAATAACAGAATGGGCTCAGGAATACTTCCAGAAAGCATTGTCAGTGAACACAATCCACCGTGCCATCCGCCGTTGCCAGCTGAAACTCTACAGTGCAAAGAGGAAGCTATTTCTAAGCAAGCTCCACAAGCTCAGACGTTTGCACTGGGCCAGGGGTCATTTAAAATGGAGTGTGGCAAAATGGAAGACTGTTCTGTGGTCAGATGAGTCACGATTTGAAGTTCTTTATGGAACACTGGGACGCCATGTCATCCGGACCAGAGAGGACAAGGATAGCCCAAGTTGTTATCAACGCTCCGTTCAGAAGCCTGCATCACTGATGGTATGGGGTTGCATGAGCGCTTGTGGCATGGGCAG